CCGCGTCCCATCTCTCCCCTCATCACCAGTGTGTTTCCCTCGCGAAGCTTTTTGCCTGAACAGGACCCTGTGCACAGCCAGAACGCACAACTTTGAGCACTCAATGCGCGAGCGCACAATCATTGCCGCGGGCAGTGCCTAGTACAGCATGGGCACACGTCGCATTGATTGCAACAGAGTTGCGCAGAGGATAAACACGACATGATACTGGCAAGCAGGGCGCGGCAGGGAAACTGAAGCAGCAAGGGCCCGAAACCGGCACACGAATGATTGTTCTCCGCCTCGATTGCCCAGCAACAGCTACCCCGGAGCAAGCAGGTGATGGCAGAATTGATTGGCTCGGCCACGCCAGGAAATCTGACCACGACGGAGGAAGTCTTAAGCCGAGAGGAGCCGTGCTGCAAGCAGCGCATCGCTAGACGCAGAGAGGACAGCCGACGATCGAACTTCCGCTGGAGAGCGCGCAGCAGAGTAGGACAGGTCCGCGATGACAATATCAATGACGCGAGGTTGAGTCCGATTCAGTCCCTACCTGGCCCTACCTGCATGTTGTAGAGGATCAGGAGGAGGAGGAGGGGAAGGAGGAGGGGGGGGGAGGAGGAGGGGGAGGAGGAGGGAGAGGAGGACGAGGAGGAGGAGAGAGGAGGAGGAGGGAGGGGAGGAGGAGAAGGATCAGCCGCCCTCCTTCTCAGAACCTGGTTTGGCCTTCCCAGACCCCGGCCTGGGAGCTCTGGGCGTGGAGCGACGAGCTTTGGGAGCTGCATGGGTTATCGGTCACACTGGCACTTCCATTCTGCACTGGGGCGCGCACTGTAGCATCACAGAGTCGTCATGAACGGCACGCGCCCTTGCCATCTGAGGTACAGAAGCACTGACCCAGGCTGAGCATAGCCAGAACAGGTCCCAGGACCTGCAGGCATCACGCCCCCCAAAGCGCAGCGAAATGTGTTTTCATCTGGGCAACCGACTAGTACGCAGCCCGCAGAAGCGACCCTTATATGGCGTCACCAGCTGGACAAGTGTGTTCGACGCGCGCGGGCTCCCAACTGGGAGGACAGCACACGGCGTACGGGATGTAGGTTTGCGATGTGGTACATCCTCCTTTCCAAGGGCACCCTGGCGCTGCATGCGTGCATGCGGGGAGACTTCCCTACATGCTTCCCTTCCCCCGCCCTCACGTTCCCATCCACCCCTCGCCCAACACCTCCCCGCCTTTCTGTCGGGAGGACGAAGGCTGGGTCGCTGCGTGTGGGGCGCGCGCGCGCCGGCGAGAGGATGGGATTGCCCCGCCGACGGATGCAGAATCCGTAGACTCATAGTCTGAAGAAGAGAACCGCTTCAGGCATTGTGATTTCTGGATGTTTCTGGCCGTGCACAGCCTCGCCGAGGCGCATTCGTAGTAGTGTCAACCCCTCCCCCTGGCACACCCGCCCCCCCCCCTGGGGGGTCCCAAAAGACGCCCAGAGACGCATCTGAGAGCATCGGCCGACGACGACGACGACGACGACGACGACGACGACGACGACCACGACCATGACCATGACCACGACCACGACCACGACGACCACGACGACGGCGAAGGGCGAAGGGCGACGGCGGCGGCGACGAGGGCGACCTCGAGCCGTCCCTCCCCTCCCCTCCCCTCCCGGGGGCCCCTCCCCTCTCCTGTTCCCTCCCCTCTGGCAGCCCTTCCCGCCCCCCCCTTCCCCGCACCCTTCGGTTAGACGACGTGAGAGCGGCCGTTCGCCGGGTTGACCTCCGGTGCGGGCACAGCGGGGCCCCCAGGTGGCAGCGGATGCGATGCGACAGCAGCGGCTTGCGCGCTCCAGCTCGGCCTACCCGCGACCCCCGGAAGTCGCGCACCGAAGGTCACCCTTGCCCGGGGTCGCACTCGCGTGTAGCCGAATCCTCCCCGCGCCTTCCCCTCCCTGCTCTCGGGCGTGGCACCGGGGAGCCCCTCCACATCCACCTTCTCCCCCCAGCCCTGACTTTTGCAGGCGTTTCCCCGCCTTCCCCCTCTCCCTGCCCTCTTTCCCCCTCTCCCCTCCCCCTCCTCTCCCCCTTCTCGTCTCTCCCCGTCTCTCCCCCTCTGTCCCCCTGTCGCTTCAGTCTTGGCTCGAGGGAGCACTTGTTGTCAGCGCGCGCGAGCCGCGACGCGCACCACGACCAACTCCCCCGCATCCGGCTCCTGGGATGACCGGAGCCGCACCACACAGCGGTATTACTCAGTCGGGCATGTCTCTCTACAGGGGAAATATTCAGAACTAGTAAAAAATAGGCTGGGGACGATGTTTCGACCATTGTTGGAGTATCTTTGGTAGTTGTTGAGTGTGCTTTTTTTCTTCCCAAATCAGTCTGTAGGGGGCATGTCCGACCTGACAGTATTGATACGTATACGATTTCATTTCATGACATTTCATGTTGCCGCGCGCGCCGCCATGGCTCCGAAGGGTTCTCGCCGTGCCTCCCCTGCACTTCGGCGGCCCAAACCACCAGGCGAGGGCCGCCAAGAGGCGAGCCTCGCAAATCGGCAGGATGCCAACCTCAGTCGGAAGGAAGCCTGCGACGCCGCATTCCAAAACAGTGGTGGCGTCGACAGCAGTCACTGCATACAGCGAGTTCGCTCACAAAAACCAGACTGACCTCGATACCATGTACCGGCAACATCGTTCCAACCAGCGAGGGCTCAGGAGCTAGCTAATCGACTACACGTAAGAGTGACCTTTCGCCGGAGTGACCTTTGGTGCCGGCTCATCGGGCTCCCCCCGATCGCCGAGCGGCGATGCGATATAAGCGGCCCGCGCCCTTGGGTTTGGCTCCCTCGCGCCCCCAAAAGCTGCGCACCAAAGGTCACTCCGACCCAGGGTCATTCTTACGCCCAGCCAAGCTAGTCAGATTGTGCGGGAGGAAACGATCAGCCGCACCGTACTGCACTGCCCCCTTACGCACAAAAAGGGCTCCGCGCGCGACCCCGTACCGGCGGGGAGACCACGGTCGGCGCAGGCGCCCACCGGGGCAATGGCACGGCCCTTCTCATCAGCAGCGATGCGCCAATTTGGGACGTCCCGGCCGCACTTCCAGTGCACAGGAGGGAGAAATACGCACAGACACGATTAATCGTCGATTGCCCAGAAGAGCTAGGAAAATATGGGGAAGTGGGGGGGAGACAAAAGCCCAGAAAATATTTGAAAATACGGGGATTCCTGTTATTTGTGTCTATGTATGTATGTGTTCCAGGGCTCCTTCAAGTACACAAGGCTGACCACGGGACCTCACACACCGCGAGCATCCCAGAATTTGCCGAGCGTCACGAGCCACCCGGCTACGACGAAGATTGGGACGAAGGCTTCGGCGAAGAGCGGGAAAGGGACGAATACTTGCCGACGTTGCGTCCCATCTAAGCCTCCAGGAGATCGCCGACCCAACCTCACGCCACAAGCATCCCACAACGCCCCGCCGAGCGTCAAGAACCACCAGGCTACGACAAACCTTCGGACGAAGAATGGGAAGCAAGGTCAAACTGGGTAGTCGAAGGCCAGACTGTCAGATTGGATTGGGCCCCAAGGGCCAATCTGGCTTGGCCAAACTGGATGATTTGGGTTATCCGCCAGACTGGATCCGCGTTGGCTCCCTCGCCAGATTGCCCCCGTTTGCCAGATTGGGCCTGCCAGATTGGCGCCAGATTGGCTTCGACTACCCAGCCAGGCTTCGACAAACCTTCGGACGAAGAATGGGAAGCAAGGTCAAAATGGCTGCTCCAACCCAGCGACCAGGAGAGCTCTGAGCAAACCAGCGCCCGGCGCCGCAGCGTCGAAGCAGAGCAACGAGGCTGCGGACGAGGAGGCTGAAGACGAGGAGAGCGAGGAGGCGAGCGAGGAGGAGGAGGAGGAGGAGGAGGAGGAGGAGGAGGAGGAGGATCGCGGACATGATGCGACGAGACTTGCAACCACGGCGGCCAACGTGGCCACCCGCCAGGAGACACTTGGCCCAACTGTGCCGCCCGCCCGGAAGAGGCCTCGCCGTTGCCCGCGCCGCGCAGGCCAGCCCACAACACAGACCTGGGGGGCACTCCTGTCGAAAACCCCTCCTCCTCCTCCTCCTCCTCCTCCTCCTCCTCCTCCTCCTCCTCCTCAATGCTGTGGGACCCGTGCCAGGGCCTAGTGTGAACCGCCGATGCCAGCAGGAGTACCAGTGGCTGCGGCACCGAACGAGGACCCCTGGCACTCCACGGTCATCTACCCTCCCGTTACCTCGGAAGGGGCAGCCGCCACCGACGGACCCTGGATTGAACCGCTGCATCCACCGCCCGACCCTGCGGGCACAGCCGCCAGGGTGAATCTCAGCGAGAACCTAGGCATGGCCACAGAGACACCCGCGGCGCGGCAGCTCTCCAGGTCCGCCAGGACCGAATCGCTGTCCGACCGCATTGCCCTTGTCTCAGTTCCTGTTCTCCCGTGCAGCCAGGAAGGCACCGAGGTTGCGGTCACCAGCCAGGTCACGAAGCCCATTGACGGCCAACATGGCATCGCCACAGGACGGGACGCACGGGGGACCAGAACCAGTATTGGGCAGTCCAGTTGACCAACGGCAATACCGCAGCCCTGTTCACGTCAAGTCTGACCTCTCGCCCCCATCACCAGCCAAAGAGGGGTAACACAACTCCAACGCCAGGGCGCAGGCCAGCAGCGACGTCAGATTCGCCGACCGAGGGTGATACGGCGGAGACACCAGTCCCGCCTGCGCACACGCGGAGACCCGCGCCAGGGTCTGAGCGTGAACTTCCGATGCCAGCAGGAGCACCAGCGACTGCAGCATTGGCAGGGCTCACGGACACCTTGAAGCTCAGCGCGCGTCGGCGGAAGTGCCTAAACAGGTTCCGCAAACGCCGATGCGGACGGCAAGCCCTCGACGGGCAGATTGCCGCGTCAGGATGACCCACAGGCCGAAATAGAGAGAGAGAGATAGAGAGAGAGAGAGATGGAGTGGCAGGGAGACGCGCGAGCGGTGTTCTAGTCAAAACGAAAATCCGACACGAAGACGGATCTATCCTCCTGACCCTATCCCATCGCCTTCTCCTCCCCTGCTTCTCTCCCCATCCACTTCCCGCCTCTGTCCGCCGGCGCCAGAAACTGTGGACCCTGGCTACGCTGGCCTGGCGCTCGTCTACGCTTTCGAGCTGGCCAACCTCATGAAGTGGTCCGCGCGCATGGGCGCAGAGGTCGAGCAGGCCAGGGGTGCATGTGCCATTCGAGATGGCTTCAGTCCCTCTCCTCCTCCTCAGCGGCCCGTTTTCAGGCCAGATTTCTCGAAATGCGGCCCGATCGAGGGAGTTCTCTCCGCTGGCTAGTCTTGCAGTGCCGGCGGCCATGGCCAAACCCGCGGTGGGACCGTTCAGGGGAGGAGGACAGACGAGGAGGGAGGAAAGGAGAGGGAGGAAGAAGGAAGGAGGAAGGAGAGAGGAGGAGGAGGAGGAGCAGGAGGAGGAGGAGGAAGATGAGGAGGAAGAAGAGGAGGAGGAGGACGCCGACCATGAAGTGGAGCACGGCACAAACAGCAAAAGAGAAAAATGGGACCAGGGGTAGGCGGACACTGAGTCGGAGGTGCAGTAGTAGCAGAAGCACTGCAGGTTGGAGGAGGAGGAGGAGGATGAGCCAGGGGAGTGGGCACGAGAGGAGCAGTGGAGCAATAGAGTGCCCGCAGCCGTGCGGCACGACGGTGCGGCCGAGGGCATGCGGCAGAGGCGTGCGTGAGAGAAGCTTGGCACGCCAAGGCCGTGGGAGCGGCGACGCGCGAGGCAGGAGGGAAGCCCTCTGACTGCCGCGCCAGATCATGCCGCGGGCTCAGGCCGCGTCGTGCCGCAGGCTCGGGGCCTGCAGGCCTGCCTGATCGAGGCGGAACGTCGATGCACGGTGGTGGTGGACTAACAGCATCAACAGAACAGGGAAGTTTTCTCCTCCTCCTCCTCCTCCTCTTCCTCGTCCATCTTCTCCTCGTCATCCTCCTCCTCCTCCTCATCCTCCTCATCCTCCTCCCTCTCGTCCACCTTTTCCTCCTCCTCCTCCTCCGTCTCCTTCTTCTCCTCCTCATCATCATCCTCCTCCTCTCCCTCCCCTCACCTGCGCCTCCTCCTCCTCCTCCTCCTCCTCCTCCTCCTCCTCCTCCTCCTCCTCCTCCTCCTCCGCTGGGCTCGTCCAGGAGGGAAGCGGGCCTTCCCGCCCGTCCGTGCAGCGCGAGGCCCCAGGCGAGCGCCTTCTGAGGACGAGGGGGAGGAGGAGGGAGCTCGGGGGCACGGACGGGGGGGGGGGGTAGGGCATGCTCCTCCACAAGAGGAAAATTCAAAAATGGTAGAAATCAGCATGGCGAAAGACCCAACCACATGTAGCTGCGAGAACCGCGAGGGAGACGAGACGTAGGAGGGGGGCACGCAAACCCTGAATAGCGCACGCGGCATACCTCTGCTCTCATAGGCAGCGCGCCGCAGGAAGAACGAGACGCGGGGCAGTGCGGGCAGGAGGGAGAAGACGAAAGGGTGGGACGTATGTTTACTTTCGGTGGAGCTCCCCATGGGCCACGAAGCGCGTGAGGGGTGTGCCGAACGAAATGGGCGGGGCGGGGGGTGCATGCGAACGTCGCCGCTGGGGCCTTCGGTGGAGCTCCCTATGGGATTACGAAACGTGTGAGGGGTGTGCCGACATAATCTGGTCGGACGCATGCGAACGTCGCCACTGGGGCGTTAGGTGGAGCTCCCTATGGGGGCACGAAACGTGTGAAGAGTGTGCCGACATGTGTCGGGCGGACGCATGTGGCCGCGCCCGCTGTAGGAGGAGCTCCCCATGGGGCCACGAAGCGTTGTACTGGGTGCGGTGGACGCATGCGGGCACCCCCACTGAGGCCTTCAGTGGAGCTCCCCATGGGGCTACGACACGCTGTACTGGGTGTGGCGGACGCATGCGGGCACTCCCGCTGGGGCCTTCGGTGGAGCTCCCCCCTATGGGGCCACGAAACGTTGTACTGGGCGTGGTGGACGCGTGCGCGAACCCTGCCACTGAGGCCTTAGGTGGAGCTCCCTATGGGGCCACGAACCGTGTGAGGGGTGCGCCGAGATGAGTGTGGAACTGCATGCGAACCCTGCCAATAGGGCCTTCGGTGGAGCTCCCTATGGGGCCACTAACCGTGTGAGGGGTGCGCCGAGATGAGGGTGGATCTGCATGCGAAACCTGCCTCTGGGGCCTTCGATTGAGCTCCCTATGGAGCCACGAACCGTGTGAGAGGTGCGCCGAAATGAGGGTGGAACTGTATGCGAACAATGCATTCGGTAGAGCTCCCTATGGGGCCACGAACCGTGTGAGGGGTGCGCCAAAATGAGGGTGGAACTGCATGCGAGCACTGCCACTGAGGCATTCGGTGGAGCTTCCTATGGGGCCGGGCCACGAACCGTGTGAGGGGTGCGCCAAAATGAGGGTGGAACTGCATGCGAGCACTGCCACTGAGGCATTCGGTGGATCTTTTATGCGGCCACGAACTGTGTGAGGGGTGCGCCGAAATGAGGGCGGATCTGCATGCGAACCTTGCCGCTTGGGCCTTAGGTGGAACTCCCTATGGGGCCACGAACCGTGTGAGGGGTGCGCCGAAATCAGGGTGGAACTGCATGCGAACCCTGCCATTAGGGCCTTCGGTGGGGGTCCCCCCTATGGGGCCACGAAACGCTGTACTGGGCGTGGTGGACGCATGCGCGAACCCTGCCACTGAGGCCTTAGGTGGAGCTCCCTATGGGGCCACGAACCGTGTGAGGGGTGCCCCGAGATGAGTGTGGAACTGCATGCGAACCCTGCCAATGGGGCCTTCGGTGGAGCGCCCTATGGGGCCACGAGTGCGCCGAGATGAGGGTGGATCTGCATGCGAACCCTGCCAATGGGGCCTTCGGTGGAGCTCCCTGTGGGACCACGAACCGTGTGAGTTCGTGCAAGAATGGGGCGGGGAACGATGACGATGGTGGTGATGATGACGGCCAGAATGGTGATGTCGATGGTGATGACGATGACTGTGGCGAGTTTGATGATGATGATGATGATGATGATGATGATGATGATGATGATGATGATGATGATGATGATGATGATGGTGATGGTGATGGTGATGGTGATGATGATGATGATGATGATGGTGGTGGTGGTGATGATGATGATGGGGGGAGGGAGGAGGGGGAGGAGGAAGGAGAGGAGAGATGGACGCGGGGCGCTGTCTCTTCAAACCGAGGACCCAACACAGGATGGGAAAAAATAGTCAGGGAACGATTGATTGACCATTTTTCATTATGTATTAGCAAGTTTTGGCAATTTTCTAACTTTCGTCCAAAATCCGCCTGTAGGAGGACACACCCGACCTCAGGATAGGCTTAGGGGGGGTGCATCGACCCCCATGCGCCCGTCCATCGCCGACAGGGGCCGATGGGGCCCCGATAGCCCACCCCGCCCAGGACCGTGCGGTGTCGCCACCGAGAGCCAATCGCCGACCTATCGGCCATGCATCGCCGATTCTGGGCCGATGTGTCCCCCCCCCGAGCCGGGCCATCCTTAACGTTACCCCCTCGGGAGTGGGCGGGGAGGCGTAGGCGCTCAGGGCATCGCTCCTTTCCATGCGGGGGCAGGTGGGGCATTTGCTGGCTAGCGTCTCGTGTCAAAGAGCACGCCCCCTCTTTCTCAATCCTCGTCCCTCTCGTGTGCCGCTGGTCGAGTCTGACTGTCGCCTTCCACAACGCGGGTGCCGCCGGGCCGCCCGCCTGGAGCGTGAGGGTTTGAAAGATGCTGGCTGGGCCTGCTCCCTTGCTTGAGGGACCGCACGTGCTCGATTCACAGTGAAGGTGCAATCTACGTCACCCGCCAGGCTCAGACGTTTCCCAGCGCCACGACGCACGACAGCATGGACTATGGGAGTCGTGTTGATGTCTGGTGTGCGTCACTGCTCCCCGTAGTGGCACGAAGGGCTGTCGAACCCGAGGTAGAGTCTTCCTCGGCCGCCTGGCCCCTGCTCCTCTTCACCCCCCGCACCCCCACCTCCAACCGACGCCCGCCAGAAGATGAACGCGGTGGATCGGACGCTCGACTACACCATGACCAGCGCCGCCGCCCGCGCTCAGCCCCGATTCGTTGGCCGACGCCTCACCGCCGATCCCACGGAGGCCTTCGTAGTTGTGGCCTCTGGGCGCTGCGCCGGCCATCCCTGAAGGCAGGAGCCGCGCTCAACTAGATCCCGTGGGGCCGTCCTCCTCCTCTCGAAGGGCGCGTGCAAGGAATAGAAGAATGCAGAGCCGCCCAAAACGCTAGTGTCTTTGAAGCGCGGACTGAATGGAACCGCCGTTCACTCACGCAGAGCATCCTTTGAACGCCCAGATATACGGTCGTCTCCGATGGAGCCTTGTGGTACACTTCGCGTGCACGAAGCCCCCCACACACACACACACACAAATAAAACATGAGTAAAGTGAGACGTCCCACAGAAACCACAAAAGGCCAAGACAACGAAACAAAAGTCAATGAAACCGGTCTAGGCAGCGTGTTGGGCCGTTTCGGGTTACCAGAAGCTAGAGAAGTGGATATCGCGACAATGTTTGGAAAGCATGTATGATACATGATTTGTTTGCTTGTTGGGACCTTTTTGGGGGTCCTTGTCGGGTCTCCGGGGCCGTCTTGGGGGCCTCCTTGGCCGTCTTGGCGCAATCGTGGGCAGTCTTGGAGCCATCGTGGGCCATCTCGGAGCCTTCGTTCGTGGACCGCCTTGAAGCCATTTGGGGCAAGTTGGGCGCGTCTGGTACCACTTCTGAAGCAGATGGGTCAGTCGGCTCCACCCCTCCCAACGGGTTCCCGGGGATCGGCTTGGGGAGCGGCAGCAATCTCACACGCCGACGAAAGCCAATGGGTCGGCGAAATTGGTCTAGACCGCCGCAATTTGCAAGGCGACAAACCACCATGTGAGGCGACGTTGGGGAGACGTTTCGAGCATCATTGGCTTGAAACGCAGCGGGGTCGAAGTCAATGTGGAGTACTACGTATGCGGTTGTGCTGAATTCTGGTGGAACTCCATCGCATCGTTGGTTGTGTGTACACCGGTCAAGGTCTCACGAAGGATGGCGCAGGGCACGGATGACACAATGACGGAATGGGTGGCGGATCACTTATCATATGAACGTGCCTCGTTTGCCTCTCACAGTCGAGCCGCTTCCACTTTCGCTGTTCGTTGCAAGCCGTATATATACACAGATTTACACACACACATGTTGTATATGGTACGATTGTGGCCCTCTCCGATCTCTGTGTATACCTATATATATATACATGCCTGTCTCTCTCTCTCTTTCCCCCCTCTCTCTAATTGTTTTGTTTGTGCATCTTCAATATACACATATGTATATAAAAGTTCCCCTACATGTCTCAATACCGATCGGTCTCTTTCTCTCTCTCGTTCTCTATTTCTCTCTCTCTCCCGATCTAGATCCCCATCTCGCTCTCGCTCATGCTCTCCCCCATTGACCCACAAAATCTAGATTCGCACATATGAGTGTGTACACACATGCATGGATCAAGTGTGCACCCCTGCATACGAGCATGTAGATATGTGTGACATTGCGTGCGTCCCTCGGACTGAGCATGTACATATAGACAGAACTATGTAAATACATGCACGCATATACATACAGTTATATGTGTGTACCAGGTTCTCCCTCATTATCCTCTCACATAAACGCTCGCTCGGTATCTCTATCTCTGTGTCCCACTCTCCCCATCTCGATCTATTCGTAAATAGAGAATACATATACATATATACACAAAAACTTGTTATTTGTATATAAAAATGTGTGTGTTATATAAAAATATGTGTGTGTCTGGTGATGTGTTTATCTCTGTGTGTACATAATTGTCAGCACACCGCCTCTATATACATATCAATGTAATGTAGACCCACAGCCAATTGCACATACATGCTCATATGTATGTGTATGGACATGTACTATACATATGTGTGTACGTGTCTCTCCCTGCCCTCTCTCTCTCACACTCTGCTTATCTATCTCTGACTCTCTCTCTCTCTCTGACTCTCTCTCTCTTTCTCTCTCCCTCTCTCCATATGTCCCCGTCTATCCCTCAATCTCTCTCTCTCTCTCTCTGACTCTCGCTCTCTCTCCCCGCCGCCTTGCCAGGAACATCGATCAAGAGTCCCCCTGGGAGCTGCCCGGAGACAACGCTTTGGATCCCGAGTGGCCCACCGCCGGGACCTTGAAGTTTGAGAACGTGACTATGAGGCGCCCGCCCCTCACAGCAAGGGAGCGTGGAAGGTCGACCGTTGCCAGTGGCAACGAGCTGTCCCAAAGCAGCCAAGAGCGCCGCAAGGTAGCGAGCCTTTTGTGCGCAGAGTGGAGGTCGTCGAGATTGCCAGCGGTAGAGCACAACATGAGAGCGGGTGCAGTTTCAGTCCAGGCACGGTTTGGATATTTGGTGAAAGCAGGCCGTCGCTAGTGTTGCCAACGGCTTACATAGGACTGAGCAACGCTTTACAGCGCGTCCACACGAAATCTGTTCGGCGGCACGAGTGCAAAGATTAAAAGGGCAATCGGCGAGTTGGCGTCTCGAGTATTTGAACCGTCATAAGTGTTGCGAAAGCTGTCGATCATCTTGTGGAGGCCTTACAGTTGAAGGAAACACCGTTGCAAGAGCAACGCCCGAATCAAGAAGAGCATGTTTCCCCCTCCACCCCCTGGCCCTGACATTGGCAGGTATTGCGTTCGAGATGTTGGGTTCGCGAGCTGTTCGATCCCGCTTTTCCGTGAGCGCTTGTTCAATATGAAGCCCGTGGGGGCGGAGGGGGTCATGCGAAGTTGTTCATCTATGTTTGTTGCAAAATTGTTCTTCGACGGCATTGTAAGATCTACAAGCCCGAATGCATTCTTGGCGTGTCATGGCACGGCATGCCGTGACTTGCCATGGCGTGCCGCATTGGCGTGTTGCTTCGAGTTGTGCGTGCCATGTTGCCCCGAGTTGTGCAGTGTGTTGCCTTGTTGTGTCGTGACGGGCCATGTGCGCCGTGCCGTACGGGTTATGCCGTGAGTGCCGCGAGTTGCCGCACGCGCCATGCAATCCGGTGCCGTGCAGTCCGTGCCGCGTTCGCCGCGTCGTGACGAGCGCACCGCGACGTGTCCCAATGTGTGCCCTGAAGCAGACATGTGCGTGTGCCGTGTGTGCTACTTGTGTGCCTCGCTTGTTGTCTTGTGTGGTGCGTGCGTTGCCTTGCATTTCTTTCGTTTCCCAGTTCATTGCCCGCGTGGGGCATTATTTCGAGAATGCAAGCGGGAGCTCGAGTCACATCTCCTGACAACTATGTATTGCCCTCTGTCTCTCCGCCGCATCCTCATGCTCTTGTTTGCCCTCCTCCTTCTCCTCCTTCCCATACTCCTTGTCCCGCTTCTCCTTCCCCTTCTTCCCAGTTGTCTTTTATCTTTCGTCACGCCGCTCCGGCCTGAGGGCCTCTGAATCGCGCCGCAGAGGCCCTCAGGCCGGAGCGGCGTGGGCGGCCCCTCCGAAGCGAAGGGTCGCTGGGCTCAGGGCGTGTAAAATCCTTTCGGGATCACAGCGTTAAGTCGGCCATGTCCCTCTACATAGAAGGAAATTCAAAAATGCTACAGCACAAAATAGTATGAGGACGATGTGTTGAGTATTTCTGTGTTTGATGATTGTTTTGACCAGCCTTCATCGTTCTTCCAAAATCCGCCTGTAGGAGGACATGCTCGGCCTAATCATAGCAGAGTTTATCGATGATCTGCCATGCCCCGAAGGGGGGCAGCCTGTAGGGCTGCATGGGCGACACGATCGGGCCAGCCGGCGAGTCGATTGGAGGCCATGTCCCCCGTGGGTTTCATCAAGGATGTGCGGTGGGCGGGCAGATGCACAGCGAGGCGCTTGGAGATTTCGGGTTTGGGGTGGCGACTCTAACATGTCGCCGCCCAGGGCTCCTTGACGTCGTTCCAGGTAACCAGTCGGGTGCACAACGAGGCGCTTGGAGACTTCAGGTTGGGGGTGGCGACTCTAACATGTCGCTGCCCAGGGCTCCTTGACGTCGTTCCAGGTATCAAGCAGTGGCGAAGCGTCCTGGCTCGCCTGTAGCCCTACCAAACAATGTTCGAAGAACCTTTTGTGGTTTCCACGAAATGTTCTCAGAACATGTCCGATTGAGACTGTCTTGATTTCACACCTTGGGGTCATGTTCTAAGAACATTGTTCCCTACCTAGGCTCTGCCTAGAAGGGTTCTTACTCTCTTAGCTGAAAGGGGCCGGGCAGTGTAACACGCCCCGGGCGGTTCCCCCAGTCCCCGCCCCGCGGTTCCCCCCAGTCCCCTGGGAGCTTTAGCTTTAGCTTTAGCTTTAGCTTAGCTTTAGCTTAGCTTTAGCTTAGCTGTAGCTTAGCTTTAGCTTAGCGTTTCGCTTAGCTGTTCGCTTAGCGTTTAGCTTAGCGTTAGCTTAGCTTTAGCTTAGTTTTAGTTTAGCGTTAGCTTAGCTTGAGCTTAGCTGTAGCTTAGCTTTAGCTTAGCTTTAGCTTAGCAGCTTTAGCTTAGATGTAGCTTAGCTGTAGCTTAGCGTTTCGCTTAGCTGTTCGCTTAGCGTTTAGCTTAGCTTTAGCTTATATGTAGCTTAGATTTAGCTTAGCGTTAGCTTAACTTTAGCTTATATGTGGCTTAGCTTTAGCTTTATATTAGCTTTAGCTTAGCTTTAGCTTAGCTTTAGCTTAGCGTTACTGTTACTATTAATGCTGCTTTCCTAGGGGGTCCAACTCCTAGGTAGGGTCGCACTGGGATATTTTTTGTTATGAGAACGCGTTTGGGTTCTAAGAACATGTCGTGGTAGGACTAGACAAATGCCGGGACGGTCGGTGCCTGCTCACAGGTAGGCAGTAGGGTGCACAACGAGGCGCTTGGAAATGAAGGTTTGGGGTGGCGGCTTTGGCATTCCGCCGCCCAGGGCTCCTCTGCGTCGTTCCAGGCAGGCAGTCGCCTGGCAGACGGTGCGCAGCACAGCACCAACTCCCACGGGCCCGATCCCGATCGTGGTCCTCATTCTCCTTCCCCCAAAACGCATTGGCGCGCCCGCGGCGCAGGTACCGGGAAGGCCTCGAGCCTGCTCTGCAGGGGGTGAATTTCGAGCTCCAGGGCGGCGAGAAGGCCTTCACAGAGGAGGAAGAAGAGGAGGAGGGGCGAGGAGGAGGAAGAGGAGGAGGAGGGACCAGATAAGGCAGCAGGGCGGAGAAGGAGGATAGCTGGAGAGGGGGAAGCTGAAAAAGAGGGGAGGGGAGGAGGGGGGGAACAGGGCGCGAGGAGAAGACTTCAACGACGACGACGACGAAGAGAAAGAGAGGGAGGGAGAAGGAGGAGGAGGTCCTCTTCCTCCTACTTCTCCTGCTCCTTCTTCTCTTGCGCCTCCACGTCGTCGTGATCATACTGCCTGCCCCTCCTCCCCCTTTCCCTGCAGTTACTCCCCCGCGCCTCCTTCTTCTCCTCTTTCTCCTCCGCCCATTCCCCTCCACACCCGCCTCCCCTCCCCCATCCCTTCCCTTCCGCGGCTCAACGAGTGGAGCCGAGATTGCACGCGGCTGCGGGGGGGGGGGGGAGCTCATTCAGATGTTGATTCAGATAGTTCAGATTAAACCCTGGGATGTTGGACAGAGGTCCTTTCTCATAGCATTCCCATAGTATATAGCATTCCTCCGCATCATCCTCCCCCGCCCCGTTTCGTCTACCTTCTTATTATTCTTCCTATTCGTATTTTTAGTATTACACTAGTAGTATGGATTGATATTCGCATTATTGTTATTATCCTCCTCCTCCTCCCCCTCCTCCTCCTCCTCCTCCTCCTCCTCCTCCTCCTCCTGCTCCTCTTCGCCCTCCCCCTTCTCCTGCCCCTCCTCCTCCTCATCAGCATCAGCAGCAGCAGCATCATCATCATCGTCGTCCTTCGAGCACCGCACCAGAGCGGGGTGCCACGCGCCTTGGCCACTCTCTGGTCTGGGCCGGTTCTCTCTGCGCTCCTCTGGCGCGGGGCCTCGGGAGGAGAACAAGGCCATTGCTTCTCTCTTCCCTGCTGGATTGGCTTTGCGCGCTCGGGGCCCACTGACGTTTTTGTTGCGCATGGCCCCTCCTCGTCCTCTTGGTTCTCCTTCAACCGTCATCCATGTTGTCCCATCCTCCTCCCAGTGTCTTCCCTCTTCCTGGTCTCTCCGCATCTCCCTCCCGTCTGCCCCCCCCTCGACCTCAGAATATGCCATCGTCGGTCGCCCCCTCTTCGCTCCCCTCCTCGTGGACGCGGCCAGAGACAGGCAAGGGGGCACCAGTGCAAGAATCGCCTGCTCCACCAGGAGACCCCCGATCCCCGTCTGCCTTTACGCCTGTTTCCGCCTGTTTCACATTCCGTGTTCGCGTTCCCTCTCCTCCTCCTCCTCCTCCTCCTCCTCCTCCTCCTCCTCCTCCTCCTTCTCCTCCCCGTCCTCCTCCCTCTCCTCCTCCTCCCTCTCCTCCTCCGCCTCCTCGTCCTCGTTCCTCCCCCTTCTCCTCCTCCTCCTCCTCCTCCTCCTCCTCCTCCTCCTCCTCCTCCTCCTCTTCCTCCTCCTCCTCCTCCTCTCTCTCCTTCTCCTCCTCATCCTCCTCCTCCTCCTCCCGCAGATCGGGGTGTGTGGCCGCACCGGCTCGGGGAAGTCCAGCCTGATCGTGTGCGTCCTCCGGATCACGGAGTTCACGGGGCGCGTCCTCATCGACAGCGTCGACATCAAGGACGGTCCAGATGAGGCGTTCCAGAAGTGGCCTTGCCTTCGAGGATCGAGGAAGTTGTCATCTCTTCCGCGGTGGAAGGCGGCGGAAGTGCGGCGCGGCGGAAGGGCGGCGGAAGTAAAACGAGGCCGCCTCCGCCGACGGAAGCTGGCGGAAGGGCGGCGGAAGGTTGCGGAAGCACAAGATGCACCCCCAAGAGATCAAAACATTTTGGGTTATTGCATTTGATGGAAAACATTACCTTAACCGGGGTTGGCCAGAGGGGGTTAGCCAGGAGGGTTGGCAGGATGATTGGACTTGGCCTCGTCCCATTGGCGCGCTCCAGCAAGAGACTCGCTTTCGAAGAATCGAGAGGTGGCATCTTCTGAGTACGCTAGGAGGGGAGGGAGTCAGGTGGAGCCCTCTCCAGTGTGCAAGTCGGGGAAGGGGCCGGGAGGGTCATCCCTTCCGCCCTGGCGCCGGCGCCCCCACTCCCCTGGCGCCGGCAAACGACGACGACGACGACGACGACGACGACGACGACGACGATGACGACGACGACGACGACGACCGCCCTTCCGCCCCACCGACTCCCCCGCGATGACGTCCACGACGTGACCCGCCTGCCCGCCCGACCGACTGGCAGACTTCGTCCACGACGACGACGACGACGACGACGACGACGACGACGGCGGCGGCGGCGACGACAACGACGCTTGACCGACGCCCGCTGGCGTCGACGACAACGCGGCGCGGGGCCGGTTTTGAACCTCCCGCCCAGATTTTCGGAAGGGGGGAGGGGCGGGGGTTTGGGGGGGGACAGTTCTCGCCAGAGAGGGGTGCGACGGAAGGGAGGGGCTTCGAGAGGAGGGAGGAGCCACATGAACTTTATGAATGTTTTTTTGGCTGGATTCCCATCAAATACTCAAACTTGCTTCTGGAATTTGCTATGCTTAGGGTGACTTTCGAAGGGGGGGCGATTCCAGAGCAAGGGAGGTCAGGATGTTGCACGAGGGGCGCGTACACAGGAGACGCTCCCCCGCGAAGACGTTCGCTGTCTTCCTCGGCGGGAGGCCAGAGGAAGCCGGCGGAAGCAGAGCGAGGGCGCTCTCGCAGGCGGAAGCAGGTCTTCCCCGAGAGATTCGAAGAAGAAAGAACGGCATAAGCATAAGTTGTTGGCGCTCCCCGCGGATTGCTTGGATCCGCACGGGGCCCCCCGGCGGCGCCTCCGGCGCCACCCTTGGCGCGCTCCGCGCGCCAGGGAGCGGGGTTCAGCGCAGATCAATGAAATCCGCGCGAAGCGCCAAAAGTTCATGTTTATGCAGTTTTTTTTTTTAGAGATGTCAAGTGCATGGGAGTCAGGGTTTCCGGAATGTGCCCTTGTCAGAATATGTTGTCTCCAGGGTTGGATTGCGGAAGTTCTTACAGAGGCATAGCCCGCCCCAGGAGGCTTGCTCTGCCAGGGCTTCTCTTGGTCAGGGCGGGCTGGAAAGCTCCGCCTTTTGGCTTTCAGTGCCCAGTACGCCTGGCACCGGCGTCCTTGCGAGGCGCGATGCCGTTACCATCAGCATCATCATCATCATCATCATCATCATCATCATCATCACCATCATCATCATCATCATCATCATCATCCTCATCCTCATCCTCATCCTCATCATCATCAGCAGCATCATCATCATCAGCGTCATCATCACCATCATCATCATCAAAAACAACATCATCCGCATCAGCAGTATCAGTATCAATATCAGCAGCATCAGCCTCAGCCTGAGCATGATCATCATCATCATCATCACCACCACCATCGTCACTGTTGACAACAACATAGTCATGATCATCGCCATTGTCAATGCCAGTGCCATTGTCGTCATCATCATCCGCAGCAGCATTGTCATTGTTATCATCCTCATCCTCATCACCATCATGGATTTCTTTCGGAGGTCATCTGTCATAAATGGAACGGCGCCGAAAAGATTAGTGCAAAGACGACACGCACGAATCGAGAAGCGCATACAACCTTCCTCATCATCCTCATCGTCCGCATCCTCCTCCTCCTCCTCCTCCTCCTCCTCCTCCTCCTCCTCCTCTCCTCCTCCTCTCCTCCTCCTCCTCCTCCTCCTCCTCCTTCTCCTCTTCCTCCTCCTCCTCCTCCTCCTCCTCCTCCTCCTCCTCCTCCTCCTCCTCCTCCTCCTCCTCTTCATCCTCCGAATCAGAATCGTCATCAGCAGCAGCAACGGCCTCATCATCAGAATACTAATAACCATTGTCCACGGTGTGGGCTGACCGTCTCCTCCCGCTCGCCCAGGCCGCCCGCCTCCGCTCCACTCGGGATCGACCAGAAACGGCGGATGATGGTCAGGACTCAAGCCTCCTCCTCCTCCTCCTCCTCCTCCTCCTCCTCCTCCTCCTCCTCCTGACGAAAGGGGGGGGGTCGGGACAGGGGGTTCACAGAGCCTTCTGAGTCCACAGGTTCGGCCTCGCCGCAAGGCACGTTCCTGGATGCATTGGCGCTCTCGGCGCCGGAAGGCGGCGGGAAAGTCAGCTGAGTGAGCTGGTGCGTTCCCCCCCCCTTACAACGCCCTCCTTTTCGTCCGACTAGACTAGGAGATTTGAGGCGGAGGTCCCAGGATGCATCAACGACGCTGCAATACACCATCCCCTGCTTCTGGGAAACGGGCACCCGATGGATCTGCCATTCAGGTGAGAGTCCCATTTCGAAATAAGATTCTTATGTATGCTTGCAGCGAGCCGTAGGGAATGCGGACAAGTATGTTCTGAAAGTTCGACATGCTGTCCAGCGAGATCCCCGTTTTGAAGAGGAATCGCCCACCCCGTCTTCGTGCAATTGCTTCCCAAGCTCTTACACCGCTTGCCAACGAACTCGGTAAAGCCTCAAGCGAGAACACGATCTGGATAAGAAGCCGCGTTCTAGCCCTGCAGCTGTTCTACCTGTCCACGCCGGTTGTCATTAATTTCGATGATGTTTCAAGCGGGAGTCCCATTCTGAGAAGGCACCGCCATCCTGTGACTGTTGCAAGCGTAGTGGACGAATATGTGCGGCGTCAAAGCGAGAGCCCCATGCTTGGAAACGTAGAGCTTCCACCATCGCAAATATGGCGAATCGATAAGGTGAATGTGCGCGGCACCAATGCGAGAGCCTTTTTGGGGGAAAGTTTAAAGTGTACAGCCACCCATGTTTGTAGCTGCTACTAGCTCTCAGCTGCAGAAGCATAAGCGGTGAGGAGTCCTGAGGCGAAATGTCCGGATTGCCCTACCAACACGCTTGGCGGCGCGAAAGGGAGGAGCTCTCTGCAAGGAAGGGGAATCGATCATGGAAGAAGACGAGAAGAAGGAGAAGGACGCGGATGTGGGGATGGGGGGCAGGGGAGACGGGGATGAGGGGCGAGGGAAAAGGAGGGAGGGGGAAGAGGTGAGGTGGGAAAAGAGGCAGGGGGAGTGGAGCAGGAGGGAGGGAGCAAGGGGGGAAGAAGGAGGAAGAGGGCGACGAGAAGAAGAATGAGGAGTGAGGGAGGGGGGGCAGAGGGGACGGGGATGAGGGGAAAAGGAAAAAGGAAGAAGGGGGAAGAGGCGAAGGTGGAAATGAGGCAGGGGGAAGGCGGGGAGGGGGGTAAGGAGGGAAGGGGAAGGAGGAGGGGCGAAGGGGGAGAAGAAGCTGAAACAGGAACAGAAAGGAAGAGGAGGAGGAGGAAGAAGAGGAATAGGATGAGGAGGAGTCTTGAAGTCGAGCGCCTTGACCCCATTACCTGGATAGCACGGTGGTCGCAAGCGCCCATCGTGGTTGACACTCAAGGTCATGGAAATCGTTGAGCAAAGCGAGGGTGAGCGCTGCGTGGTTCCCAGTGGCTCCGCCAGTTTGTCCACGCACCATGTCCTGCCAATGGTGGGACAGCACGGCGTGGAGCAGGCACCCAGTTGAAAATGCGATGGCCAAGGGGGGTGAAACCAAATGCTCTTCGAGGCTCAAGCTGGACCGTGGGAAGCAGGAGGCAGGGGAGACAGAGGCGGAGGAGCACCATGGTGGCAAGGGGGAGGCAGAGGACGATCTACCAGGAGGAAGACGAGGAGGCGGAGGATGGGGAGAGGGAGGTGGAGGCGGAGCGGGAGGGGGAGGAACAGGGAGAAGGAGAGGGTGGAGGAGGAGGAGGAGGAGGAGGAGCAGGAGGAGGAGGAGGGGAAAGAGGAGGAGGGGAAAGAGGAGGAGGAAGGAGGAGGATTGATGAGGAGAACCAGACTGCACCCAGGATACATCAACGATACTGCTGGAAAACACTGTCTTCTTCCAATTCCGCCGCTTCAGAAGTCCCCACAAGCATTCTTTGTCGCGACGGAGAGCGCCCACTTGAAGGACGCGCGCCGAGTGGACGTACCAGTCTGCCGGGAACCTCGCTTGGAAATGGAACCGCATTCCACTTGTTTAAGTGCTAGAAGTGTCCAGAGGCGGGATCCTAAGACTTGAGGAAGTCTCAGGGGAGAGCTCCTTTAGGAGAAGAAGCCGCCCTCCATCCGCGGAAATTGTTCACGAGTGATCATGGTAAGGTTCCGGAACATGAGATTTGAGGGAGCTGTGAGCGAGAATTGTCTCTATACGCAGTTCTATATATATATATATATATATATATACATATACATATATATATATATATATATATATATACACATATATATATATATATATATATACCCCGGGGGGAGCAGGCCCGGGGCCCGAAAACAGCTGCCTCGACTCTCCATGGGGGTACCGGGGCTAATTTTCCTTGTGTTTTTAAAAAGGGTTTCCGCGTCCTGGGCCTCGGAGGCCGCCGCCTCCGACCCCCCAGTGGAGGACGGGGCGGCCGGGGAGGTCCAAAATAGTCCAGGAGGGCCTCCAGAGGCGCCCAAGACGGCCCAAGCTGGCCCCGAGTCGCCGAAAGACCGCTCCAGGACGCCCAAGATAGGCCCAAGACGGCCCGAGAGGCCCCCCAAGGCACCCCACGACGCTTCAAGACGCCTCTCCAGAGCGC